GCTTCTGAGTAAATTCAAATAACAAAATCAGAATACTGACACATGCTACATTTAAACCAAGATCTGTATGTAGTTAGTTGCAAATACATGTTTACTAATGTTTACTTGGTTTCAGTCCTCTTCCAGGAGCTAAATTCCCTAGAAAACAGTACTGAAACTTCCTTTTTATAGCAAACTAATCTTAAAAATTTGAATTAAGAAAAAACAAGTTGGACAGAGTTATAGAGAACTTCAGTGTAGAATTTCTCTTCAAATAAAGTCTGCTAACTGACATGAAATTAGCAGTAGTCCTTAGCCTGTGTTTTTGTTTTGTTTTGTTTTGTTTTGTTTGTTCCAAATACTGGTGCCTGAATCCTCTGCCAGACCTATTGAAATAGAATCTTTGGGCATCTGATGGTTTTAAAAATTTCACAGGTGATTCCAATGCTTAATATAGTGGAGAACCACTGAGGTGCAGGGGCAATATATTTAAAAAGTGACACACACACACACACACACACATACATACACACCACTTAATAACTGAAACAACAAAATATCTGTTTTTTAGATGATTTATGTGGGTCCTGAGTTTTCAAGTGCTGGAGTGAGCACTGATCTTTCAGTGTGATGTTTACGTCTGGTTTAAGCTGTTACTAAGGAAAAGCTGTGAGCTGAGCAGCCATCTCATGCTCATGCTGGTTGTTTGGCAACTTTGGTTGACATAACTTGACTCTGCAACCAGGAGAGATTTTCTGTTTATTGTCAAATGCTATTTAAAAATAGATTAATGTATCTCCTCGATGCATTTCTAATCTATGAACATGAAGTTTTATTCTCCAGGAATTAATTAAATACCGGGGGAATTAATACTAAAGAATACTGTACATTCTTAGGTGCAAGAGTGTCAATTAAAGCTGGCAGAACAACAGTTCAATCACAGGGGTTATTAAGAAGCTCTTTTAAAATCTGTAGTCTGGTAAGTAATGGCAAATGACTAGATGCTGATCATTGTTAAATGTAAATGTCAAATCAAATTGACTTGCCCTAGGTTGGTTTCTCAGACTGTCATATTAACTTGCATAATTTCTCCTTTTATACACCATGATAAAGAAGAAAATATAATCAACCATTGGGGTTCTGTTCAGTTGCCATCCTAGGCAGCCCTTATTAACCCTATTTCTCCTTCTTTCTAATGAGCTGCTTGCCTAGAGTTTCCAAGAAATCAGCTGCAAGGCACATTGCTTACTCGAGGATTAAGGCTTATTAGAAGTCGTCCATGTTTCTTCCTCACATCCCAGGTACTTTTATGAATAACACACTGGCACTAAAGTTCCTCAGATAAACATTGACTTAAGATAATATAGAATACAGGAAATCACTAGGGATTTGGAGTGAGAAGTGAGAGTGTTTCACTTACTAGCAAGTCACATAACCTCTGTGCAGTTGCATTTTGCCATTTGAAAATGGATTAGGGAGGACAAAATAATGTTTATGGAGGCACTGTAATTTTTTGAAGCTGTATGCAAATGCTATTATTTTATTATTAAACTCAGCTCTCTCTGAAGTGAGAAGTGATATATAAAGGCCATATTCTTCATTAAAATCCCAACTACAGATCATAGCTTGGAGATAATAGGCCTAAGTTGGTATCCAGAGGTATCGTATTTTACATATTTTACATATTTTACATATACAAACACTAGGGAATGAGAGAAGGCATAGTAGAAGAGTAAGAGGCCACTGAGAAGGAAAATGGACACAGACTAGAAATTTCTCACATTTCACTATTCCTTCATTCTTATATGACTCTGCTGCATGATTCTGTAAAGGAGTTCACTAGAATGAACAAACAAAAACAAGACATTAGGTAGGGGATTGTATATGCATGTGCCACTGGACATTTGCTGGTTTATTTATATGAGAATGTGGGAGAAATTGCTAGCATTATATTTTGGGAGTGGGAGAGGTGAGTAGAGCTTTCAATTTACTTTATTTTTCTTTATAAGGAAAGCCTTTGTCCCCCAGTTAAGAAGAACCTAGCAAATACAGCTTGGAGGAAATGGATTAGGAAAAAGTGGAGAAAGAAGCAGCTAGATAGAAATGGGGAACTGAGCAAGGAGCTGTCATTCTCCCTACCATAGTTGTATGTATGTAAGTAGTCATCAGCTTTGTTGGTTCGTCCAGAGATCCTCAGTTCTCACTATACAATGGAAGTATCCAGATGGCTCCCATTAGATTTATAGTGTTAGAATCTTAGATGGCACCTGTGGCACATATCATTTTGAATGAGTAGCATAAAAACATCTGAGGCACAGCCAGTGTTTAATCTTGTTTCTGCCTTTGACAAATCTCTTAGTATACCCAAATGTCTTTTAAAGTATCCACTATTTCTGTTTCAAAGTAAAAAGAATTAAAAAACAGGAATCACATGGAAATTATTTGGTTAAACTGTTTCCTTAATTTTTTTTTTTTAAGTTGAAGCTGTGACGGGAGGGGGAAGGGAATTCACTGAGGGGAAAAAAAGAGTGGAGTGAAAAAGTTTTTATTAGGAATGTATAAATTAACCAAATTTTGAGTGATTGTCATAGTGACAGCTGACAATGAGTTCATGCATGGTTACTTAATTATTAACAAAATCTCATTAAGAGAAAATTGTAAGCATACTAAACTTGGTTGTAGAATATGCAGAATAATGTATGTTGAATAAATTATGAGGAATCTAAGTAGGGACCAGTTATGTTAATAAGCACTCCAGCATTGCTACAAGTAGAGATGTTGGATAATCACTTTCAAACATTACTATTTTAGAGTAGGAGTTTCCAAAGAAGACATACAGATGGCTAAGAGACACATGAAAAGATGCTCAGCATCATTCATTATCAGAGAAATGCAAATCAAAACTACAATGAAATATCACCTCACATCTGTCAGAATGATAAAATCAACAACATAGGAAACAAAAAGTGTTGGCGAGGATGTGGAGAAAAAGGAACTGTTGTGCACTGTTAGGGGGAATGCAAACTGGGGCAACCACTCCGAAAAACAGTATGGAGGTTCCTCAGAAAAATGAAAAATAAAATTACCATATGATCAATTCCACTACTGGGCATTTACCCGAAGAATATGAAAATGCTACTTCAAAAGATATATGCATCTCTATGTTTATATATTGTAGCATTATTTAGCCAAAAAATAGAGAAATTATGGAAGTAGCCCAAGTGTCCATTGATCGATGAATGGATAAAGAAGATGTGATACACACACATGCAACATGGATGGACCTAGAGGATATAATGTTGAGTGAAGTAAGAGAAAGACAATACCATATGATTTCTCTCATATGTGGAATTTAAGAAACAAAACAAATGAACAAATTAAAAAAGAGACAGACAAAAAACAGACTGTTAACCATAGAGAACTGATGGTTACCAGAGGGGAGATGGGTGGAATAGGAGAAGGGGATTAAGAGTACACTTATCGGGGCACCTGGGTGGCTCAGTCATTAAGCATCTGCCTTGGCTCAGGTCATGGTCCCAGGGTCCTGGGATCAAGCCCCGCATCGGGCTCCTCGCTCAGCGGGCAGCCTGCTTCTCCCTCTCCCATTCCCCCTGCTTGTGTTCCCTCTCTCCCTGTCTCTCTGTCAAACAGATAAATAAAATCTTAAAAAAAAGAAGAGTACCCTTATCATGATGAGCACTTAGTAATGTAATATAATAAAATAAAGAATATAAGTAATAAAGATTATCAAGAAATAGGTAAAACTGTCCATATTTGTGGTTAATATGATTATATAGTTAAATCCAAATCTACAATTTAAAAAGTAACAGAATTTAACAAGTTTTTTTACATGAAAAGTCATTATGCAAATTCAGAGCTTTTATACCAGTAATGACCAATTAGAAAATTGGATAGGAAAAAAGTTCACTTACAGTAGCAATAAGAAACATACAGGGATAAACCTAGAAGAGATATGTAAGATCTGTGTGAAAAAAAATTAACATTAACAAAGGATATAAAGTGAGTAAATGGACAGCTATACCATGTTCATGAAAAGGAAAAAATAGGGTAAAGATGTCATCTCTCCCAATTGATCTATAAATATATATATTTATGGTGTGTATATAATTTGTGTGTGTGTATACATATATGGTGAAAATTTATGTTCTGTGAACTAAACTAGTTAATTTATAAAAGATTTCAGTCATAGTGTTCAGGGGCGCTTCCTACTTCTGGTAATGGAGCTTTTCTATCCTCTGCATAAAATATCTAAATTTAAAAAACCCGAAACATTAACTTACACATTGAGGAAGGTAAGTGAACTTTAAATAGGATAAATTCTAGCAGAGACACACCTAGAGACAAGATAATAAAACTACTGAGATCAAAATCAAAGAGAAAAATATTTAAAGCAGCAAGAGAAGAAAGACACTATGATAAGATGAACATCTAGCTTCTCATCAAAATAACTGAGGCAAGAAAGGCACTGGAGTGACATAGTCAAAGTGTTGAAAGAAAAAAAGTGACAACCAAAAATTCTATATGCTGCAGATTTACCTTTTAAAAATGAGGGCAAGGGCGCCTGGGTGGCTCAGTTGGTTAAGCGACTGCCTTCAGCTCAGGTCATGATGCTGGAGTCCTGGGATCGAGTCCCACATCGGGCTCCCTGCTCGGCGGGGAGTCTGCTTCTCCCTCTGACCCTCTTCCCTCTCGTGCTTTCTATCTCTCATTCTCTCTCTCTCAAGTAAATAAATAAAATCTTTAAAAAAATAAAAAATAAAAATGAGGGCAAAATAAAGACATTTCCAGCTAAAGCAAAATGGAGAGAATTTGGTGTTAGCTGACTTACACTTCAAGAAATACTAAAGGAAATCCTTCAGGCTGAAAGGAGATGGCTGCAGATGGTAACTTGGATCCTAGGAAGAATGAAGAGTATTGGAAGTGGCAAGTATGAAAGGAAATACATTTTTATTTTTTCTTCTATTTCTTTAAAAAATTACTCAGTGGGGGGTCGTGCATAGGGTCCTCCCGGTTCGCTGCACGTGCCTCTCGGCACGTGGCTGAGCCATGGCCCCGGGCACCCTGGAGCCGCCGGGCCTCAGTGGCGGAGGCTGTGTCATCCCTGACCATCGGCTGATGCCTTCGCTGCAGCCAGGCGAGAGCCCCGCCCTGCCGCCCTCCGCGCTCAATAGGAGATTCATCTGCTCCTTCCCTGACTGCAGCACCAATTACAAGGCCAGGAAACTGGACGTGCGCCTGTGCAAGCACACGGGGGAGAGACCGTTCGTTTGTGCCCATGAAGGTGTGGCAAAGACTTTGCCAGGGACTACCATCTGAGCCGCCACATCCTGATTCACACTGGGGAAAAGCTGTTTGTACAGCTAGTGGTTGTGATCAAAAATTCAACACAAAATCAAACTTGAAGAAACATTTTGAATGCAAGCATGAAAATCAGCAAAAACATTATGTATGCACTTTTGAAGGTTGTAAGAAGGCCTTTAAGAAACACCAGCAGCTGAGAATCCATCAGTGCCAGCACACCAATGAGCCGCTGTTCAAGTGTGCCCATGAAGGATGTGGGAAACATTTCACCTCACCCAGCAGGCTGAAGTGACACAGTAAGGTCCACAAGGGCTATATGTGTCAAAAAGAATGTTCCTTTGTGGCAAAAACATGGACAGAGCTTCTAAAACATGTGAGAGAAACCCATAAAGAGGACATAAAATGTGAAGTATGCCAGAAAACATTTAAGTGCAAGGATTACCTTAAGCAGCATATGAAAACTCACGCCCCAGAAAGGGATGTATGCCGGTGTCCAGGAGAAGGCTGTGGTAGAGCCTACACAACTGTGTTTAATCTCCAGAGCGACATTCTCTCTCTTCACGAGAAAAGGCACCCATTTACCTGTGAACATCCTGGCTGTGGCAAAACATTTGCGATGAACAAAGTCTCACTAGGCATGCCATTGTGCTTGACCCTGACAAGAAGAAAATGAAGCTCAAAGTAAAACCATCTCGTGAAAAACGGAGTTTGGCCTCTCGTCTCAGTGGCTATATTCCTTCTAAAAGGAGGCAAGGACAAGGCTTATCTGCACCTGAAAACAGACACACTAAGCTGTACCGAAGACAAGGTGCTCTCGACCGTTTCGCTCCGTGCCCTTAACCGACCCTCCCACTGCTTTGTTTAAACGAGACCACAGCATTCAGCTCAATTATTTCCACTCAGAAGCACACTTTTCTTTATTAAAATCACTGATGCACAAAAAAAAAATAACCCAGTGAAGTAAAAATTACGCACATGTACAAAATACTATGTTGTGGGTTTATAATATAATACATATTATAATAGAATAAGGGTAAATAGGCTAAACTGGAGTAAGCTTTATTTTACTGGACATAAGTCAGTAGTAACTTGGAAATAATGAGAAATTAAAGATGTATATTGTAATACCCACCACAATGCTAAGAACTTACTCAAATAATATCACTAAAAAATCACAGATAAAAAAATACACATTTGGGGCGCCTGTTTGGCTTAGTTGTTAAGGGCCTGCCTTTGGCTCAGGTCATGGTCCCGTGGTCCTGGGATTGAGCCCAACATCTGGCTCGCTACTCAGCAGGGAGCCTGTTTCTCCCTCTCCATGCTGCTCCCCCTACTTGTGCTCTCTCTCTCTCACTGTCAAATAAATGAAAATCTTAAAAAAAAAAAACAACCCACACATTTGACACAAATAAGGCCATGAAAAAGGAATAGTAGAACAAAAATATGAGATAAATATAAACCAAAAAGCAAGATGGCAAGCCTTAATCCCAACATATAAATAATTAGGTAGTTATTTTTATATGTTGCATAATATTTAATCAGTAAAATAATTAAATATTAGTTAATAGTTAAAATGCATTACATGTGAAGGACTAAACATTCTACTTAAAATACAGAGATGGTCAGACTGGACAAAAATGTAAGATACAACTATATGCTATCTAGAAGTGAGGCACTTTAAATTCAAAGACAAAAATGTGTTGAAAGTAACATTAAAAAAAGACACAATGTTAATAGTAAGCATAAAAGAGTTGAAGTGTGTACATTAATATCAGACAAAATGGACTTTAAGAATGATACTAGAAAGAAAGGGACATTTCATAATGGTAAAAGTGTCAATATATCAGGAAGGTATTTATTTATTTATTTGGAAGATATATTTATAAATGTATATGCACCTAACAACAGAATCACACAACTGAAAAATCGATAGGAGTAATAGACAATTTAATACTCCTGCAATAAATGGTAGATTAAGTAATTAGAAAATCAGTAAGCATATAAAATACCATCAACCAACTTCATCTAACTGACTTAGAAAACTTCAGAAACAGCAGCAGAATGCACATTCTTTTTTAAGTACACATGAAACATTCATGTACATAGGTTATACACTAGACCTTAAAAGTACTTGCTTTGAAGAATTTTTATAACAGCATCATTTTTAATAGCCCCAAATTAGAAAGAGCCCAAATGAACATTTGCCTGTGTGTGAATAAACAAAGGATGGTATATCCACACAATGAAATACTGTTAAACAATAAAAAGGTATAAGCTACCTGTATATGTTACAACATAGCTGAGTTTTTTTTCTTTCTAAAGCTTTTTTTAAGATTTTATTTTATTTCAGAGAGAGAGAGAGCACAAGACGGGGGAGTGGGAGAGGGAGAAGCAGACTTCCCGCTGAGCAGGGAGCCCGATGCACGGCTCGAACCCAGGACCCTGGGATCATGACCCGAGCCGAAGGCAGATGCTTAACGACTGAGCCACCCAGGCATCTCACAACATAGCTGAGTTTTAAAGACATCATGCTAAGTGAAAGATACCAGACAAAAAAGATTAGGTATTGCATGATTCCATTTATATGAAATTTCCAGAAAAAGGCAAAACTGTAGTGACTGAAAGCAGACCAGTGGGGCTGCTGGTGGGGGAGGGAGATGTGGATTGAATGCTCTATATCTTTAACAGAATTATTTGGAATAGAAATGATCATTTTGATACTAAGATAGTGATGAATTTTATAAAATCATCTTTGGTAGTCATTATTTAAAGGTTCAAATCAGTGGAGCCTAGTCTTACTGATTTACTCCATTACTATGGTTATTTCACCATATGCATGCCTTTTAATTTTCATTTTGGATCAGTTACAAATATTTGTTATTTTAATAATATCCTGTTTTTATTTTTGTCATAGTTAATGGGATGTTCCAAATTTAAAATAAGGAGACATGAGTCAGATTGAAAAAAAATTTGGTTTAAAATATTTCTTAGGTATTTTGGAAGAAATTTCTTTAACAGAATAATCAAATTCACTTATCTCCCAACTTTGTTTCTTTTTACCACTTGAAGGTATATAGCTTAAGTGTTATCTTTTTCCATAATTTAAGATTATTCACTAGGGATCTTTAAATTTTGACACTAATTTTTATTCAGAGTAATCCTATTTACTTTTTTTTTTTAAAGATTTTATTTATTTATTTGACAGAGAGAGAGAGCACAGGTAGGCAGAACGGCAGGCAGAGGGAAAGGGAGAAGCGGACTCCCCGCCGAGCAGGGAGCCCGACGCGGGGCTCGATCCCAGGACCCTGGGATCATGACCTGAGCCGAAGGCAGACGCTTAACAACTGAGCCACCCAGGTGCCCCCCTATTTACTTTTTAATGAAATCAAGTTGGTATATTAATACTGGAATCAAATTGCTGAACATTATTTGGAATTTACTACTTATATATTTTGGATATAAGAAATATGTAGGTGGTAAAAATTTCATGCCATATTTTCAAGGAATTATGGCTGTGAATTTAGCTACAATTCTACCTGAAAGGGAGACATTAGTCCATAGATTCTGTCATATATTACTCATTTGACAACTGTAAAAAGAAATTCTGATTTTTAGTGCAGACTTGAGAGAACAATTTGCCATTTAGGTTCTAGTTGCAGAAATATGGCAGTGGCCTGGCCTGTGATACTCAGAAGAATATGAGTATTGAAAATACTGTTAAATAACACGAGTGCTTATTTCCTAGCTGTTTAAGTGATGATATGAGATCATCAGGTTAGTTATATGTTCTATCAGGAATAGTGCTGATGGACTGGACAATTGTTTGGGCATAGCTCTCAGGATGTCCTCAAAAATGCCGGGAGTTAGTTATGTCTGGACCAGGCATTTTACTCATTTTGTTTTGTACAATGTTCTGGTATGGTAACCAAAACTAAAAATGAAGGAAATGTGTGGATACCTAAGCACATGGTAGAAAACCTGGACTACTGCCGCCTGGTTAATAGAACAGGATTCCAGCACTGTTAGGTAGAACTTTCTGCAGTAATGGAAATGTTCTGTACCTGAGTTGTCCTGTGACTACATGAGCATTAGTGCAACTAGTATACCAAAATTACAGCCGTTCTGGTTTCATGCCAGCCCTACTGGACTCGATTTTATGCAGTTAGTAGGAGTTGTAATAACTGAGAACATAAGCAGAAGAAATGAAAGCCAAAGAATTAAGCTAGAGACAGTTAACACTTGGGAATACTTGCGGGATGGACCAATATGGAATATTGCCTTTTGAGCTCGCACAGTCCGAGTGCTTATACATATTGTGTACTCCATGAGTTTTAGAGTCAGGCATAAGTAGCAAAATTTTATCCAGCCCACTCTGGATAAACCAGTATTTCAGAATTGGAAACAATCCTCAGATTCCAGTTAATCTTTCTAACATCACTTAAGAAAATCTTCTGCTATCCACACATCTTGCCAGAGGATGGGTTTAGGTGGCCATTTGGTACCTCACTTTCTTCTTGGTTACAACTAATAAGTTTACCAGAGAAGGGTGCTTAATTCAGGCAAAGAAACAAATTTGCTCTCCTAGGGACTGAGAGTTGAAAAAGAACCTGAGTCTGCCGATGGTGAACACTAGAGCTTCAGAGTTATACAATCCAGGGATTGAACAAAATACTGAGTTGTGGGAAAATGACAGAATCCAGAATTTTGAGATGAGAATGGAGTGAATAGAAAAGTAGAAACAAAATAAGTGGTTCCCAAGAGAGGCAGAGAAACTCACCATTGATAACTTTCTCATGGGCCTGTTCTTTCAGCACATTTGCCCTATCCACACATTTATTCCTTTCCTGCCAAACCATTTCTTTCTCCTTTTTTTCCCTTTCTTCCTTCCTTCATTTTTTTTTAGAAAGCAAGATTTTTTTATTAAATAATTTTCAGGTTATAGCTTTATAATTTGGCATCTCATATGTACTACAAAGTGATCATCACCATAAGTCTAGTTACCATCCAACACCAAACAGTTGTTGACCCCCTTCACCTGTCTCTCCCATCTCCCAACCCTGTTCCCCTCTGATAGCCATGTGCCTGTCTGTTCCCTAGGAGTTTTTTCGTTTGTTTTGTTTTGTTCAATTTGTTTTTTTAGCTTACATGTATGAAAGAAATCATACAATATTTGTCTTTCTCCATCTGACTTATTTTGCTCCTCAAAGTCCATTCATAATGTCACAAATGGCAAGATTTCATTGCTTTTTATGGCTGAATTCCATTGTGTGTGTGTGTGTAACATCTTTTTTATCCATTAATCTATTGTGGACATGTAGGTTGTTTCCATATCTTGGCTATTGTAATTAATGTGATGAACATAGGGGGTGCATATAGCCTTTTAAATTAGTGGTTTTTATATTATTCAGGTAAATACCCAAAAGTAGAATAGTTAGGTAATATGGTAATTATATTCTTAATTTTTTTAAGGAATCTCCAGACTGTTTTCTACCAGTTTACATTCCCACAAAGAATGTACAGTTTTTCCCTTTTCTCTACATCTTTTCCCACACTTATTTCTTGTCATTTTGGTAAAAGCCATTCTAATAGATGTTAGTTGATATCTCATTGTGGTTCTGATTTTCATTTCCCTAAGAAATTATTGATATTGAGTATCTTTTCATGTCCCTGTTGGCAACCTGTTTGTCTTCTTTGAAGAAATGTCTATTCAGATCCACTGCCCATTTTCTAATGGATTTTTGTTACTGTTTTCAGTTGTATTAGTTTTTATATATTTTAGATATTAAGCCCTTATCAGGTATTTGGTTTGCAGATATCTTCTCCCATTCAGTGGGTTGCCGTTTCATTTTGATGATGGTTTTCATT